TTTTTTTTGGTAAGTGTGTATCTTATTTTTGGAGGAAACGATTTTATCTCTTGCATGAAGTGTTGGGCACGTTTTTCAAATTCAAATTGCCAAAACTTGAACCGTCTTGTAACCTGCCTCGATAACTGAAATTTCGTTTCTCTATATCTATCATATCATCTTTTCTCATCTCTCTCATATCAATCTAATTCCCAATTTCTCTCTTCTCACCAAAAACGTCTAACTTACCTTATCTATGTGAAGTTTTCCTTTGAAACCATGCCTAAATCCAAACAGAGAAATGTGAAGCCGAAGAAGAATGCTCCTCAACATTCTCGGCGTTCAACTCGTCAAAGCCAAAGCACTGAAACTCCACCAAATCGAACTCCCTTCGATATGACAACTAAAAAAGTTCAACCCTTCGATATGACTATGTGTGTGTGTGTGAGAGAGAGAGAGAGAGAGAGAAGAGAGTGATGAGGGGGAGATAGTGACATTAATATATGTGTGGGACCCAATGAGTTGTTGAATGAACAAATTACATAAATGTTATCTAAGGTATTTATTTGGGCATTAGATAGACATGTATTTACAATTTTTCCATTACAAGTTTCACATTCTCATATGATCTCTTCTCTATAGATAGATGTATAGATCGTCCCTAAACTTGAGTTGTCAAGATGGAGAAGAGAAAAATATTTTTTAATTATTACATTGAGTTGGGGATAAAGATAGTCTTATTGCTGTTCGGGATTATAAAATAATAATAAGTAAATAACAACAAAATAATATATATGTGTTATGAATTATTTGTTATAAAATAATATATGTGAATGATTATTTTGTAACCGATGTAATTGTATTATTACGGTTGTGCCATCAGAAGTTTCCTATAAATAGGAACTTTAGTTATAATGAAAATCGTACCTAAGAGAAACATTTCTCTATTATCTCTCTTTTCTCTCTAGTTTTATAACACGTTATCAGCACGAGTCTCTACCCTCTAGAGTTTAATTTGTACTATAACGAGAGTATGCTCTACAGTTGCGTCTTGTAGATGATCTTTTGTATCAGAAATCGAATTATTACAAAACGATTATTTTCTTCAGCCGATTTGAATCCATAAATTCTTAATTTTCCACTTTCTATCATTGGTCATTAGCCACCCAAAAACAACATGAAGTGATGAAATACTCCCACCGTTTCAAACCCCAATATCAACTAAAAAATATAAAAATATAAGTTTGCCATGACACTCTCTATTCTCCTCAAAGCTCCAAAAGCGTATTTGTAATCAGCCAAATCACATTCCAATTCGCCAAGTAGCGATGGTCTGCCTTACGTGTGGCGTAACATCACGTAGCCCCGCAAAATCGAACTTTCTCGGATCCGAAATTGAAAGGTATGGTTATTTCTAAAAATTGGAAATTTGTGAGAGTGATAAAAGTTTGATTAATAGAAAATAATATTTGGGGAAGAAGCAAAAAAAATTGAAATTAAGAACAAAGAAAGAAATCTAGGTGTATCAGATTCGGTATTACAACTAATGTTAACATTTGATACAATAAAGATAACTTGGTGCAAAAACAAGTAATATTTAATGGTAGCCGACGGGTCAATTGTTGATCAAATATTATGAAAAGTTATGTGAAATGACCAACTATTGCAGCCACCTACAACAGATAATATTGAACGGCTAAATGAACCGACCAGTGTATTAATAGCCGGTGATGTGGAATGGCTATGTGTAAGGCCACGTGCAACAAATAATGTAGGTAAAAGGATATGAATGGCTATACTAATAAGTGATAGCCGATGAATGAAATGAATGATACTTTGTATCTGACCATGTGAAAGTTGAATAAAGTCCTGATCGTGAAAGAAAAATATATGGACTAACATGATCCATGAAAAACAGCTGATAAATTTGGAGTAATGAAAATTGATGAGATGGTACCCGAAGTTACCATATGATACCATAAGCTACCACATAATGATGATATCGTGGTATAGTGATACTTGAAGCTACCATGTTATGATAGATTAAAATGATGAAATGTAACAATTTGAGAAAGTGCTATCAAAAGCTAACAGTTAGTGGTGATCACACGAAATGATTTTTCAATACATTATATGAGTCTAAGGGAAAATATCAGATCACATTGAGGTTCGAGATTATATAGATATTACAATAAAGTGCTCCAGAATAAGAACATGGGGTAAATGATTGTAGTCATAAAGTACTACACGCTTATATTGTGGAAAAGCTAAATTGATATTATTATTACTGATGAACAAGTACAAAAGGTTCATATGATGAAAATATGGATAAGAGGTAGTGAATCCTCGATAAATACAAAATGCGAAAAATATTACATAATAGAACCCATAAAAGAAGGGTGTGTCTCGAGAGTATAAAACTCCGTAACTCTGCCACCCATTATTGTTATCTGGGTTCATAATGAGAGATCTAAAGGATCAAAAGCTCTTTTTCGCTTGACCCTTTGTGTTTCCACAGAATCTTGAAATGTGATGCATTCTTGAAGATTTTTTATAAGCTTAGCAGACATATCTGCAGATTTGAATACTTCTCTCGTTGGAGGAGATATAAAAGTTTGATACTCCTTGGTCTAAAAATTCAAGCAAACTATGAAAAAAGTTAATAAAATTCAATAGACCTATGGGCTTGTTATGGAGTTTCAATTCTGGCCAAGAAGCAATGGTGAACATTGTCATTAGCGTTCCATAAACGTTTGTAAGAATGATAAATGCATCGCTCTTGTTCACCATATCAATCATACAATCATAAATAGAATGAGTTAGCATCATTCTTATGGAATCCTTGACGACCCTTGTTGAAGCTCTATGAAAAGGTATGTTACTTTTCACTTCTATCTCAAAACATATTCCAGCGATTAAAAGATTATCAAAGAAAGTGATGCTAGTCCCTCCATACAGTAAATTGATTTTTTTTTATTTCCCATATCACTTACTAGCTGACTTACAAAATCAACATTTTGGAAAAACTTACCAGTCTAGAACCACCAAGAACACACATAGTTTTGATCGGTTGAAGAAATTTATTACCTGCGAAGGCTCTGAAACATCCATCTATTTATTGATAAACTAAATTTTTCAAAATTTTATGAGATATATGATTATGATGGATGACTCACTATTTAAAAGGAAAATTTTACAAAGCAATAACTGAAAAATAAGAGGTTGGGTTTTCAATGAATCTTATTTGTCGGAAGCTATAAGATTTTCTGAAAATTACAGTACAACTACTAAACTTCATTAGTATGATTTTCCGTAATAACAATACTAGTTTTACAAACTTAATCTTTTGAAACAATATTTTCGAGACTATAACGTTCTTATTCATTTTCTAGACGAATCCATAGAGACAGAAGCTCACGATGCACATATCCACTAGGATGTGTCTCAAGAATCTGTTGAATTGTTTGATCCATAGATTCTTTACTCAATCCATCCTTTATAAATGATATTTTATCTTTTCGATTTTTGACCGTGTGTCACAAGTCCATCGAGGGCATTTGAAGCATCCACCTAATCTTTTTGCTCTTCGTTTCTTTGCAAAAGTACTCTTACCCATACTTTTGCTTCAATCAACCATCAAATATCGCCTGGAATATCATTAATCATTAGCACCCTCAATCTTTCTATTCGAGACCGATAAATCATTTTTATGATATTTACTGGAACAAATGGATAATATTTACGGATATTTGAGAGTGTTAAATCCATTTGTAAATTCGGACCTTTGTTCAAATATATTGAATGGATTGCCTGATAATTTATAGAAATGATGTGTATGCTATACGACTCTAAAAATAGAGAGTCTGTGCTACAGAAGGAATGATACGCATGTAATACGATTCTGAATTTGAATATTGTGAGTCAGAATCTGCACTTGAAGTGCATTTATTGCCGCCGAAAGATGATGTGATATGTTTGTGATAAATGGGTCACAATGAATTATTGTGATGTTTACTTATATAAATGATGATGGTTGGCATGATTAACTGATTCTTTGTAATATGAGACGCTTTGTTCTCGATTGGTGAAATTATTACTAGCTAAATATTTGTGAATCGATATTTGATCAAACTGAGTATTAAAGGGGTGCGATATATATGGGCTCACTACCCCTCCATGTGTTACTACTAGATATTATGGATGTTAGTGTTATATACTGAAAGCTTAACTTTGGATGATATTACACGTTTACCCTTTATGAATGAGAAACATGTTAGATTAAACAAGTTCTACATTATGTTATTTTGCATTAGATAGTGTGGGTCGTCATCAGACGAAGCGAAGATCATACTATCAGTTACTCGCGAAACAAGAATTAATGGTTCACAACATAGATGGACATGAACACCCCATCGTGAACGGTTGTAGTGTCAACCGTACAGTTTGTCTTGACTGATTAGTTGCACTAGTACATTTATGTATTCAACAGGATCCCAGAGAGGAGCAATTCGTTTTATACTGATCGTCGTAAACGAACTAGGCCTCGGTTAATTACTACGTGCTCTTAACCCGTAAGATATCAAACAAACATATATGTGCAGTACTTATTACTTTGATTCACATGGGTGAGCTTAGTGAACTGAGCCAATAGACCCGTTGTCTTGGGTAATATTGTTGCATGTAGGATGTGTTGTTAGGATATTTATGGTCACCATGTGCGTTAGTTTGATGATGTCCTCGGAGTGAG